AAAACAGTCACCTCAGAGGATGATCGATCCATCTCCATTTCCTTTCGCATATTTGTCTAGCGATGTGTTCTTGGTTGGTTCGTTTGTTGTGAGAGTTCCCTGTTGTTTAAACTATCTGTCCAACTGGCCAATTTATTTTCAATATTGAGCAAAGGCGGACACTGATAAATGTCTACAGCGACCTGTTAGAAATGCTCATCGTGATGCATACGTAAAGTTTCTTATCCACATTGAAGGAGTGACTGACTGACTACTGACTCATTCATTTTACATCGGTGTCGAGGATCAGAATTCTGTTGTTTATACTGCGATGGAGTGGAGAAGATTGCCAAACTGATTTCAGAGTGATGAATGTGTGTCTTGCCTTTCTGATCCTGGCTGGTTTTCACATCCTCATCCATGCCATGTGCCTGTAGTTGAAACGATGTTGCCTTGATAAGTGAGCGGAGCGACCTCTTTCAAATTTCCTCCGTTGGTGTTGATTGGTGGTTGTTGTTGGTGGCGGTTGGTTGGTTGGTTGGTTATTTTCATCATCTCCATCTTCTCTATGCTCTCTTGAAGTCCTGTCTTCGGTACCCTCTTCTTCAGACAGCTTGTTTGTTTTCGCCTGTAATTCTTCGAGTTCGTGTGACATGAGACATAAATCATCAGTCCAATGTATTCATGTCTTCCCTTTCCTCAAGCATAGTCAAATGCATAATCCCGTCCACCACAATCAATGTTAACATTGGTGACAGTAGGGAGCCTTGTTTTACTCATGTCTTCACTTAAGAAGCCTTGCTGAGTTTTTCATTGTGGATCACCTAACACATAGCCATTTCATTCATCTGTTGAAGGAAGTCGATAGAGATTCGTGGCACTCAACACAGTCAACGCTGTCGAAAGCCTTTATAAATCAGTTGATGAGTTTGAGGTGGAGGTTTGTCAGTCATTTCATGCTTTGTTCCATGATGAAGATAGGTAGCGTTGCATTTTGATCAACACATGATTTGCTTTTTAGGAATCCAAATTGTTCCGATATGTGGTTCTGCATCTAGTGCATCCTTTAGTCTTTCCAGGATGACGTGACCTATAAGAATAAAACTTGTACAGTGAGGTAGAGTAAAATTCCGTGATGTGTTAAATTTCTTTTCATAAAGTCTCACAGTGTTTGTTATACAGTAATACTTACTGCTGTCATCTCAAAAAAAATTTATCATTGCAACTCATAATCATATCAAGACACTACTCACACAACTTTCTGACTTCGCTAGTATAATTCCATTATTCCTCGTCGCTTGACTTGATGATTGGTAGTAGTATTTTCCATCTTTCTGGTATGAGTGATGAGTCATTGCATCCTATTGCATGTGCTAAGTGTAGATTCGATGAACCAGGCATCAGTAACCAATCTCTCACTATCTCTTCTTACCTATATTACTTTCTAGAATTTTGATTCTCTCCCACCAACCTATTATGTGGTTGTGTGTTAATGCATACAATGCAGTGCAATCGCTGAGCTTTTTTTCTAAATTACTTATCTTCTTGGGATCAACCATTCTTACCTTGGCCAAATTCTTATGTCCAACAATCTGACTACCCCCGACCTACTAGTATGACCTATGTAGTTGACCACAAATCACAGTCATTGCAGAGCTTGTCCCTGCCTGAGTGAGTGAGCTGGTACGTTTAAATGCCACTCTAACCCCTGCTTTATTAAGAATCCTACGTAGAGTCTCATATGTCCCCTCCCTCCTTATATGGGATAACAGTATATGCCTCATATTGTCTCTTATTTATGTTTTCATTATTAGCTTGAAAATCCACATTGAGTCATGTGAAAAAGAGAAGACGTTCAGCGCAGAGACTCTTTTCGACGGCGAATTCATTCATATAGCTAGCTGTACAATCGCATTTATATACAATTATTTCATGTCTGTGTGTACATGAGGTTTGTCAAGTTTAGATAATTGTTCAGGTAAGACAACAATGATCTAATATAGAAACAAGGTTAATCAGACAGCAAACTAAAGTAAGATTGAGTTAGTAAGTTGGATGACGTAATATAATTGACGAAAATGTTTCAACTTAGGTCAGGGTAGCAACAGAGGTAATTACAGGTGAAGACTAAGTAGAAGTGGGGTAGAGAATAATGCCATTTAAATTAGAACTGAAATTGAGCAAATAATTTGGATGACGTAACATAAATGACTAGAAATTGAGCGTTGTTCAAGTCAGTAACAGTGGTCGTGAGGTGTAGAAATTAAATCGGGTGGGGGTAGAGAACAAGAAAGTTTAAAATGTAAAATATTACAATTGAGAAGACAAAATAATACCAATGAAGAGACAGAAAAAAAGATTAGGTAGAATTTACTTATCGGGTAATAAGATAGATTACGTCCATTGCAAGTGTAATGGTTGAACGAACTTCTTCTGTATGCAGAGTTCAGGACATAGCGAGTGAATCGCCATTGCTTCTGCAGTTTGAAGAAGTCTGATTCGTTCACCTTTAGGAAGACTACTTCTTACTCTGTAGACGACTTTGAAGTTTGTTTGCGGTGTAGCTTGGTGTCTGGATTCTATCAGATGTCCTAAGATGGAGCTGTGGGGGCATCGATTTTCTCCTTTGTAAAACCATGTTGGTAAGTGTTCGGTGATGGGTTTCTACACCTCACTATCACTGTTACTGACTTGAACAACGCTCAATTTCTAGTCATTTATGTTACGTCATCCAACTTATTTGCTCAATTTCAGTTCTAATTTAAATGGCATTATTCTCTACCCCACTTCTACTTAGTCTCCCCCTGTAATTACCTAAGTTGAAACATTTTTCATTATTAGTTTCACCATTAATTTTATTTTGCTTTTATCCTTTTATAATCTTCCTAATGAATCTTAAAGGATAGTTATTCAACACCAACACTTCTTCTTCTATCTGTTTCATTTCATCATTTAGGTCTTTACTTGTACTACTTAGTGCTATTGCTTGCCTTCACTCACAGACAGATAACGACTGAGATGAATTAAAGTCTAAATATCTGTTAGCAGTTTGTGTTGGCTTTTTATAAACGCCGCTAGTGTGCAGTTTACCTTCTTCCGTTCGTTTTATTTTACAATCTAACACCATAGCTAATTCTTCTTGTTCATTTTCCGATTCAAATGTTAATTTTATTCTCTCTACTAGTGAGTTCATCGAGTTTACACCCAGCACATGCAATAGGATGCAGTGACTCATCACTCATACCAGAAAGATGAAAATACTACTATCAATAATCAAGTCAAGCAACCCTTCGAAGTGAGGACAGGAGTAAGACAAGCTGGCTGCCTACTATCGCCAATGATTTTCCTGATTGCAGTAGACTGGATAATGCGACAAACAGCGGGCAATGAGGAAACAGGCATAAAATGGACTCACACAAAAAAGACTTGGAGGATCTGGACTTCGCCGATGATATATGTCTGATTTCCCACAAACTGGAAGATATGCAAGTGAAAAGCAACAAGTTGGCAGAAGAAGCATCAAAGATAGGACTTCAGATGAACATAGAGAAAACAGAGGTGATGAAGATTCCTGGCCAACACCAACAGCAACAACAACAACAGACAACAATCAGCATAAATGGGAGGAACCTGAAAGAAACAACCTCTTTTACCTACCTGGGAAGCATCGTTTCAACTACAGGCGACGGAACTGACGAGGATATCAAAGCAAGAATCGGAAAAGCAAGACAAGCTTTCACTACTCTCAAGTCTGTGTGGAGGTCAACAGCACTCAGCATCAAAAATAAGATCCGGATTTTCAACTCCAATGTGAAGTCAGTGCTACTTACTATACGGATCAGAGACTTGGCGCGTCATAAAGAGCATCTCAAACAAACTACAGACCTTCATTAACAGTTGTCTTCGCTCAATACTCAAGATCAGATGGCCGACCAGAAAAGATCAGCAACAGAGATCTCTGGCAATGAGCGAACCCAGCAGGAACCGATTGTGAAACAAATAGGCAGGAAGAAATGGAGATGGATTGGCTGGCATACTCTGAGGAAACCATCAAGTGACATCACTAGACAAGCCATTGAGTGGAACCCGAAAGGGAAGCGGCGAGTTGGTCGTCAGTGCAAGGGTGACTTGGAGGAGGTCATGTGAAGAGGAGATGAAAACGTGTGGGCAGACTTGGAGCCAGGTGAAGACTGTAGCAGAGAACCGAACGCAATGGAGACGCACGGCTGAAGCCCTATGTTCCTCTAGGAATTAAAGGAAACAATAATAATAAATGTGGTCATCAATAGTAAATATTACTGTATAACAACACTGTGAGACTTAAACAAAAGAAATTTTACCCATAATGGAATGATGTGACATAACATTTTGTTTGCTGTGAACAAGTGCACCACTTTCATTCCATAGCACTGATTAATAATACCCATGTATTTATCATTATTGAACTGAATCATAAATCCAATGAACCCAGATGAAACCAATCATATTCTAATTTGCAATTGTCTGGTAACAAAAATTCTGGCCATTTTAGTTAGTTAGTTAGTTAGTCAGTTAGTCAGTTTGTGTTGACCTTCAGAAGGTAAAGACAAATACGTACACACGGCACACTGTACACACTACTACATTCAAGAATAACCCTCATCGATAGATAGGTAGATAGATAGATACATTTCTGCACTTTCTGTGAATAAATTGACTAATATCCAAGGCAAAACGAAACATGGCTGCCTACATCCCATCACAGGTGTAGTTCATTGGATAAGGATGATAGGCAATAGCAGAGGAGATTTCTCTGGTTTACTGTTTTTGTTGTGTTTTAGAGATAAATTGCATTAACTTATGGCACCGGAGAAGCGCACTCGCACAAAAACACAAACACAAGCATGTGTGTATATTTCGAGACATATATAATTATGTATGTATATGTGAATATCATATTCAAGGCATGGACAAATAGATAGATGGATATATGGATAGAAAAATAGACAATTGTGTGCTAAACCAAATAGGTGTCTGTGTATATGCCATCCAGTAGTAGTAGTAGTAGTAGTATTGATTAGATACACAAATTCAGTGAATTTCTTTTTGGTGGAAAAATGCTTTTCCTGACTTTAATCATTATTGCTTCAACTAGCATTATCATTGAATGATAGATAGTATATAGGAGAGTAAAACTGGTTCATGAGTTTAACTTGTAATATACGTAATTTAGCTGGTCAAGTGAAAAACAGATTAGTCGGTGAACGCAAGCGATCACTTAGCTCAAATGATTCAAATAATAATGACAATAATTCAGAGGAAGAAATAATTAATCAGATGAATAGTCGACAAGAGAGTTCAAATCCATGTGAACAGCGTGATCAACAGCATCATCGAAGTAAAACAGTAACAACAATTATAACTACACCACAGACACCGACATCAACACCGATGATGAAAACAACAGCTACCTCACCTCGACAACATGGTGGTACTACTCATCGTAGACAGAGCAGTTCACCGAATAATTCCAGTGATAAAAAAAGATTCCAGAAACAGCAACAACAACAACAATTGCAACTAGAACAACAGTTTCAGACGACAAGATCAACATGTCAGTGTCATGGGAATTGTATCAATTCTAGTCAACCGAATTGTTCCTCGTCGACAAGTAATAATAGTAATAATAATAGTAGGATAGAGAATAGTAATCAACTGACACCACACTTATCACCCTCATGCACACATAATTCAACATTGTGTTCTAGTAAAACTTGTAAACAATCAAGCGGTAGTTCATTTGTACCATCTCCTATATTACAAGAACAAACACGAAATTACTCAGTAGACGGGAAAGACAGTCATATTTGTAATCAACATCAACACCATCGTCAGTATCCTCATCATCCTCATCACCATCATCAACATCCTCATCGTCATCAACATCATCCGAATGCACAACAGCATCAATCTAGACAACATGTATGTCTTTCGAACAATGATGAACAGTCAAGGAATCATATGAATCGGTAAGTGAATTTATTATTTCCGTCTTCTGAAAAGAAAAAAATGTAAACATTCATTCACAATTGATAGACAGAAGACCAGTAGTTCAGTGAAGAGTCTCTTTTCACCGGCAAATTCATTTTCATAGCTGTACAATCGCAAATATATATATATATGTTTTCAAGTGTTGGTTTGTAGGGATTTGATTGGTTACAGGATTTTCATCATGAGCTGACATTAGTTAGAGAACCATTGGAAAACCTGGAAGTACTGGACAGCTGTTTCGTCCTAGTTTGGGACTCTTCATTAGTACGCACCCACCCAGGTTTCGAACCCAGGACCTTCTGGTTAACAAGGTGAGCTCGTATACCATTAAGCCACTGGGACCCGATCCAATGGCCCATGAATTCTAACTTCCGCCAATTCATGACATAGCGCGACCCCTAGCCAATGTCTTCGGCGAGTATTTGTCCTCACACCTGACCTGCTGCACCCTACTGGTCAAACGAAAATACAGTTAGTAAGTACTTTTTCGTGGAGTTACGTAATACAAAAGGGCGTTCCAACGAATTCATTCAATTGCACGTTGAAATCTACACACTCCACTAGAGGAAATTTCACCACGGTTACTTTCTCAGGATACTGAGATGTTTCAGATCTCGATATATGCATATAATATATATGATCTCTTTGATACCACCAATAAAAATCAATAAAGCAAGCATAGATGCACGACACTATACTATATTACTGATTTTTTAGGCAGTTCGAAGGAATTCATCTAAGCACCGAATGGCTAATAGAGGTGAGTAGTGTCCAACTGTAACAGCAGAACATGAAATAGTAATTGCTGGCAATATTTTTTATTAACCAAAATGCAGTATAGTTATGGTAAAATGTATATATATATACCTATACTAAACTCACCATTTGCATATGTTCGTCATTATTGGGCTATTTTTTTTGTCTTCCTGATGTGTTTTCTGTGTGTTATTTCACAAGGATCTCTCGCTCGCACTCATCGCTATTTAATCTATTCTTTCGCTATGTAGAACCGTAGTAAAGAATATCATATAATATACCATTTACTGTATGGCGTTCTGGACCAATGCAGACATTCCTTGTTATTTTCAAGTATTGATTTTTTTTAGGGATTTGTTTGATTGGATGGAGAATTTCATCATGAGCTGACATCAGTGAGAGAACCACTGGAAAACCAACTGGGAGTACTGGACAACTGTTTCGTCCTAGTTTGGGGCTCTTCATCAGTTCGCACCCAGCACCGGGTTTCGAACTCAGGATCTTCTCAGTACAAGGCTAGCGAGCTCGTAGACCATTGAGCCACTGACACCCGATGTCAGCTGATGTCAGCCCATGATGAAATCCTCCGTTTCTTGTTATTCCCTATAAATATGATTAGCAAGCGCTTTTTGGTATGTTTTGATAATGCAGCATACTTTGGTTTGCGGTCTAGTTACTGACTACATAACCGGGAAGCGACAAGTGAGTCGTCAATGCAGGGGGGTTTGCAGGAGCAGATCGTGTGATGCGAGGAGGAGATGAGAGACTGTGGGCAATCGTGGACCCAGCTGAAGAGGACAGCAGAGAATAGAACGAAGTGGAAATGGATCATTCATATAAGAATAAAACTTGTGCACTGTGGTAGACTCTAATACTGACTATATCAAGAAAGTCACTGAACATATGTAGACGGGCCCATATGAGGAAATTAAGAAGCCCGTAGATACAATAATGAATAAGGTTGAAAAATTTACAGGGAATTTAATACGCAGAATGAAGCCATCACTGGGTGAGTCTAAATAGTTTAATTTAATGCCTAAAAGTAATAATGCTAGTAGGATACATGGTACTACTAAAATACATAAGCCAGGTTACCCCATACGACCAATAGTAGATTTCAGGAATACCCCTACTTATGAATTATCAAAACACTCAGCTCTAATATTAGGCCCCATTAGAAATCGTTCAAACTGTAGACTAACTAATTCATATGATATGAAAAAGGAAACTAAATGACATTCAACTAGAGAATGATGAAACAATGGTTAGTTTTGATATAACAAGTTTTTGCACTAATATACCAATCAGTATGGCCTTAGAAGCAGTTAAAAAAGAACTAACTGTAGATCCTGAACTCACTCATAGGACGAAGCTGCCCATTGAATAAATTATTTTAGGAATTCAATTATGCCTCACGTCTATTATCTTTAAATTCTAAGGCAAAATATATAGACAAACAGAAGGTGTAACAATGGGATCACCAATATCCCCTATAGTAGCAGATATATTTATGGACAGGTGGGGAAATATTGCTCTTAACACAACATTTAATCCCGCTCCAAAAATATGGTGGAGATATGTGGATGACACTTTCACAGTGTTAAAAACAGAACATATCTCTAGCTTCTTGACACACATAAACTCACTAGTGGAGGGAATAAAATTCACATTTCAATTGGAAAATGAACAAGGAGAATTAGCCATGGTGTTAGATTGTAAAATAAAACGAACGGAAGAAGGTAAACTGCACACTAGCGGCGTTTATAAAAAGCCAACACAAACTGCTAACAGATATTTAGACTTCAATTCATCTCAGTCGTTATCTGTCTGTGAGTGAAGGCAAGCAACAGCACTAAGTAGTACAAGAAAAGACCTAAATGATGAAATGAAACAGATAGAAGAAGAAGTGTTGGTGTTGAATAACTATCCTATAAAATTCATTAGGAAGATTAGAAAAGGTGAAAAGCAAAATAAAATTAATAGGGAAACTAATAATGAAAACATCACCTTGTAAACGACTCTTCTTCCTCTTATTGTGTTCCTGTCGAACGTCTTGATGAGTGTTTTCCACGATCTGAGAAAGCGAAATAGGTTAAATTTGAAGTATAAATCAATATTGTTATTTTATTTGACAGGCTATCGCTCATCAGCTGCGAACTACCTGAGAATCTTTTCACTCTCCGAGTTCTCAGGTGAACACTGGACATCAAACTTTGAAGTTCCAGCAGTGGTGGTATTGTTTTTGTGGAAGGGGCTAGTTGTTAATATCATGTCGAATCTCCCCCACTCCTTCAACGCTTACTACTTTCTAGTAGACTAGGAGATACTTAGAAGTGCGTCAACATACTTCAATATCGGAAAGATACCAGGGAAAGTTTCATAAATTCGGGGCATCAAAAGTGAATAAACATCACGATATATAATTCAACTCTTCGTTTGTTTATAGGTTGGAAGGGGTGGGAGAGGAGAAAGGAGAAATCACGGAAAATAATAAACGTTGTTGGCTGATAAGATCACATAACAACTCATGGAAATTAATAATAATAGTAATCTGCTTTATTCCAAAACTGCATGCTTTGGTAGTACAGCGGTAGAATGCTCACCAAACATACATGTGGTTAGGGGTTCAATCTCCGGCCAAAGGCACCCCAGAAAACCTCGCTTGGCCTATAGGAAGATCGGTAAAGAGGGAAGGCTAGTAACCCCATCCAGTAAAAATAAACATCACTTCTACCGAAACTTCAAAGCTGCAGGCTGAAGCTCTATGTTCCACTGGGATAAAGTAAAGAAATAAAACCGTATTTATGAAACAGCCTGGGATCCTCAGCAAACGGTACAATATTACATCTAATTTACTGAACAGCAGCAAAATATTACAGAGTATAAAGTGACCAAAATTGAAAATAGCAACTTCCTGGCATTAGCAGTAACGAAAAAGTCAAAAATGCACAAGTATAAAATGACAATAATTATAATATTTTATCGAGTTTGACCACGACTGATATCAGTGAGAGAACCACTGAAAACCAGCACTAGAGTACTGAACAACTGGCTGTTTCATCCTAGTTTGGGAATCATCTGCATTATGCACCCACCACAGGGTTTCGAAATCAGGACCTCTCGGTGGGGAGTCTTGACCAGTGAGGTAAATCTAGCCGGGAGTGAGGATTGAGTCCCCACCGATGATGTTGGTTCGTGCTAGACTCACGAAATGGTAGAAGTTGAAATTCATTGGCCACTGAGTCGGGTTGCAGCGACTGAATGGTTTAAAAGCTTGCCTTGTATCCAGAAGATCCTGGATTCAAATCTCAGTGGGTGCATGCTGATGATGAGTCCCAAGCTAGGATGAAACAACCAACTGTCCAGCACTCCGTGGTTGTCAATGGTTCTTTAACTGATATAAATCCATTGTCAAACTTCGAAAGGTAAATCAAATCCTTACAAACCAACTCTTGAAAATAATAATAATATTAATAACTGAAATAATAAGATAATTGGAGTAGTGTCACCACAAATTACATGTAGGAGAAGGGAGATAAAAGTGCCATTTATTTTGCTGATTGCATAGAAAATTAGCAGGACTAGTGGTGTAAAACTCAGTCAGCTCGTCACTACATTAGTTGAAAGGCATCTGAATAGATGCGAAAAATGGTCTAAAACCATACTCTCCAACCCCCAACACCCCCTCTACTGTCAACTCTCACCTTGTATCTTATCAGGTAGAACTAGAAATCAGTATAAAATAATCTATGCTAGTACAACCAAGTACAGGAACTTAACGATATCATACTTGGCCCGTGTTCTAAGCGACAGAGATAATATTAAGCGTGAAACCTATGACTTGCTTTGTTATTAATAACATAATTTTAGGCTCGTTTATTTCTCTTTCATTTTGTATTCTACAGAGAACTCCTTCTTAAACATACTTAGCTACCTAAATTATTAACATTTGGCTTACTTTTGTACTTTACCGTATTCCTTCTTTTGTGTATCCACTGGTTCCGACTATAATAGCACTATGAGTAGTACAAAATTTCCCTGTCATTAACCATCATGTAATTATTAGTTTTGTGGTTGTTTTTTCTTATTTTTTATTTTTTCATTTTTTTTTCGGCAATACTAAACTGACAATCATTGTTTGTGAACGCCATTGTCACCACCTTGAAAATTTTCTATTATGCAGGATTACTTACACTACTACTACAAACACCACATTAGACCT